GAGAAACAATGTGTTTTCCGTAAGTGTACCTCCTCAGGGCATTTAAATGAACCTTGATTCAAGAAACAATCAACTCAAGACTCTGTTCATCGCAGATTTCAAGAACCTTTTGCACAACATAGTTTCCAAATGCATCTTTCATCATAGCCTGCAAAATTTGCATTAGGAAAAAATACCAGAGTTAATAATGCTTGAAAACGAACAAAACTGAAAATTTCTGTGAATAAAGAACGCATCAATGGTCATGCTGCAATGACAAATCTTGGGCCTGAGTACCTAGTCTTAAGATATCTATTGAACATTCAAGATAACTACAATGGTTGAATCACGGATGGCTTAAAAAGCAACACACGATGCCCAAACATTTACACTAGCGAGTTGAAACTGAAGGAGGGAAACAAAACACATCAAAGAAAAGGAAGAATAAAAACACAAAGTCAAAGACTAGAAATAAATAAATAAATAAAATAAAATAAAGGAAGCTTCAAGATGAAACAACATAGATAACCTGCATTTTGTCGGATCTTAATTGCTGAATTCAACCTCTGATCAGCAGAACAAACACCAGTTTGATGACCAGTGAAACTTTTATTTGGATGAGATCCTTCCAAGCTTGCAAGTTCTGAAGGATGCATTTTGGAGTAAAGGTTCACAGTAGAGGAAGTTCTTCTGGATATGTTTACTTGTCCACTTGTATATCTTGGAAGCATTAAGGTTTGGTGCAACTGCATTTTTCCTTGATAAGTCGGTATAGTTGGCCTGAAATGACAGGTTTTCAGCGTTGGACTCGTCTACAAAATGATGGTGAATGTTGGTGTTATAACCATTGGGCATAATAAATGGAAAACCAGGCCGACTATCAATACTCCCTTGAAGCTGAGATTGCAGATGACTATCCTCATCTATATGCCTAGCTTTTGACAAGATTAAGCCTGACAAGGCAGTTGCAATTTCACCAAGTTCATTCTGAGCAGAAGGATTTCCATTTTGGACATTAGAGCCAACAACGTTCCTCTTATCAATAGGGCAAACCTTGTTGCTCCCAACAAGAGGAAGACCAGAACTAGGAGACCTCCCAAGCACATGTTGTTTGGGGGTTGTACTCCTTGACAATGATGCACCCACAGCTGATGCAAAAGAGTGAGAAGAACTTGTACCATGGCTCTGAAGTCCTGCCAGCTCAGGATGAGCTCCAGCACACAAGCCTTTTCCTGGTTCCACTCCATTACACAGCTGAGGTGAACTAGGATTAGAAGTGATAGAAGCTTCCATTATCTCACCAAAAGCATTACGACTGGCTGGCTGTGACGAGTGGCCTGATAAGGTTACAGGTCGTTCAAGTCCTTCCTGAAAGAGATTATAAAATTTTCAAAGTAAAATATAAAAACAAAAATACAAATAAATAGACATGATGATTATGTTAACTTGTTTGAATAACATCAGGTGTAAAAAATCCTGAAATGCTTTCACGCCTCTGTTTGGAAAGAGTGTCAATATTCAATACTGTAAATATTTATGGATGATGAACTTGATTACCATAAAGGAAGTTAACAGAAGCAACTAAGGCTGTTGCAATGCACACTATCAATACCAAAAAATTGAAAATAAAATAATAATAATAATAATAATAATAATAATAATAATAATAAAATTCTGCCTAACAATAAAATTTCAAATCAATGTCTTCATTTGCAGCTGCAAACCCACTAGCAAGCCATAAATTGAGATTGGAACTACCATCAATTACAAATTACCTGAAGAATGTCTGCAAAACTTCTCCTCCTAGTGCCAAGCCCAGCATCTGACATTCCAATCAAGCCATCTGAGCCTCTATCCAGCCACTCAGCTGACATCTTCCTTGAGAGATCCCTTCCACTGACATTCCTCAGTTCCATCAAATCACTTTCTGCCTGTTGTACAGAGAGGTTTGGCTGCACTGAAAACAGAGATGAACTGTCACCATCATCAATTAACTTCTTCTTTCTCCAGTTCCCAATTCCTCCAAATCCACCCTGAAACCTTTGTGCAACATGCCAATGTTCTTTTGATAGCAGCGGTGGGGGCAGCCTTGGGTTTATGTTATCATGAGAATAATAATATGAAAGATATGCTGGATGAGAACGAATCTCCTCTTCAGAAAGCATTCCATCTTGATCACCATTGCTACCAACACCATTAGTGTCTCTAAAATAAGAGTTTGGCAGTTTGCAAAAAGACTGCCAACTGCACTTAAGGATCCCTCAACAGTTGGTGGCGCACTACCACTCCTGAACATATTCAAATCCCTTTCTCTACCAATGGTTTGTTGACTTATCTGTGCTTGCAAAATCAACTCAAGCTCATTTTGCAAACTATCTTCTAAACACCCATTAGATTCTTGCAAACCATTGTCTAGGCTTGGCAGGATACTGGGAGTAGCCATCTCCAATATTCTAATTTGACAAAATCCAAAAACTATAGTCAAACATAAATTAGACAAGTAGAAAACTGAACCCTTTAACGAAATCCATATAAACAAACCAAATTAAAAGTCTATAAAATAATTTTTCCTCTACTTCTTGAAAAGGTTGTACCTTTACCATAACTGAACCTTGAATTTCATGTTTAAAGGTACTAAGACCACAAATCATGCATTCCACTATTTTAACCAAATTGAAACTAAAACACCAAAATAATGAAAAATAAAAAATAAAAATGCTACCTTTACACGAGTCCCAGCATCAAAAACAATGAAGGAACAAATCGATCACCCTGAAGCATAATCAAAAGCAGAAAACCAACCAATTATTCAGCGATGACAAGTAGAGCTAAAAAAAAAACCCAAAATTCACCAGCATTTTAAAAACCAAAAAGAGAAGGGAAGATAAACCTGTGGAGGGACCTACGGCGAGTGAAGATGAATCCGAGTTCCTTTATCGCCATTGTTGGAGGCAAAAACTGAAAAATAAATCAAAAGTCTACAGAAAAATGGTACTTTTTACATTGAGAATTCATTGGGAGGTATAATTGACAGAACAAACATATGGAGGATCAGATGGCGTGAGGCTGCCCCTGAGATTCTTGGAAAAAACGGTTGCTTTTCGTTACAGAAAGGGAAAAAACCAGTGATCAGTTGGAGACAGGAGGCGTAGTTTGGGACGTTTGATTGACATCGGACGGTCACTACGGGGCTTACGCGGGAGTACGTTAATTACCAAGGTAGATAGTTGTTTCATCATTTTGTTTTCGTTGTTGTTACCTGTCTAACTTCTTCTTCTTCTTCTTCTTCTTTATTGTTGTTGTTAATGTTGTTGTTGTTGCTTTTACCTTTTCTATGTCCATCCATGATAAACGTGCATGCCAAATATGCACGCCCTCGTTTCTCATTCATGGATCATCATTATGGACATCTTCGAAAATTGTTTTTAAATCGGAAGGAAGCTGGTTGTTTAACGTTGCGAGGCATGCCAAATTATTTATTCCTACTTGTTGAACCATGGTGAGGCACTTGCAGCATTTTCGTATTTTAATCTTAGGTTGATCTTCTGACTCTATTTATTTTTGTTTTTCAAGCAAAGCAGAGGAGTTTAGGGGAAAATGTAAATTTCCTGGCTTTCAATTTCATTTCTTTCAAAAGTGTGGTTTTGCTGAGATTATTTTGTCAGGGAAAAAAATTACATATATGTTTTTAATGTAAACCGGACAACATGAAGGCCTCAAGAGGAGGAACAAGAATTGGTGTAAGAAAGCCTGTTTCAGTAACGTATCTCAAGTGCTGTATTCATTTTCGATCATTTCACGAACTTCGTTGACGACTAGGTATGCTTTGTGGCCACCAATCACCTCAGCTTGTTTCTTACCGTCCTTCCAAAACTGCACATGTAACACCAGCAAAACGTTAAATAAGAAAACCTTTTGCTGATTAAATGTAGACCAATGTTTCAACCATGAAGATGGACAACACAAGCACGCTTCATCAAAGATCAACTTGCTGCTACATGGCTTTCGTGGCTTGTTTACAACCGTAGACCATTTGCATAAGGTAAACAATTCAAAAATAAGCACATTGATATTGAAATGAGCCTTGCCTGAATAGTTGGCATTTTCTGCACCGATTTTGTAGGCAGCCAAATTGAAGGACATGAAAAGATGAAGTCAGTCATCACCTCATTAGTGAAGAAATAAATTTGAGAATTTGACAATCATGAAAGCATGAAAAATGGGTACATCAACAATTACAAGAAAGCAAGTTCAAGTAGCAGAATGTATGAGAACTTCTTAGAGTTCGGAAACTTACAGTGACCCCAGCACAAGCAACGACCTTGTGTGGAACATTGTTGACATTTATGCAATAAAACCGCAATCTACATCAAACATTACCCCAAAAGGGGAGAAGTATCTTCATTAGCTGTTAAATATCATATGCAAAAAATTTCATACAGACAAAGGAAAATGGCCAAACTTAAGTCAAAGGACAGATGATGTTAATGCATCCTGTACTGTCTGTTCTGCTATCTTTACCTAATGTAATTAAAGATTAAGGAATTATCACGCACACAAGCATAGTTTGTCTTTGAGTGTGTGTGAGAGAGAGAGACACTTTAGTTTAGCAATCTTCCATGATTATTGGCATCAGATTATTTCAGCATTCAAGAGAAAAAACAAAAAAAAAAGAAGAAGAAGAAGAAGAAAGAAGGAAAGAAAGAAAGAAAGAAAAAATAGAAAGATGTAAACAAAATTCTTGTGATCGAGTGAAGATGAGAAAATAAGTTGCTCAGCATATAGAGATTAAAGGAATCACACGAAACATTTTGTAAAAGAAGAAAAACATCTAGAACACTTAGGGTAGATCCTTGTGATTCCAACACTTCCTCTCATCCTCAGTGGGGAAAAAGGGAATTTTACATTTCCTTCAAAAGGGCCAGCAATGTCATACTTCTGTTTATGTTATCACTATACTTCTAACGAAGAGGATGAGCTCTGCATCAGTGTCTGATTAGAGAAAAAAATCCAATGGCTAGCCCAAACAGACAATAAAGAAAGAAATCATTGCATGCTCTTTTGAGTCTATATATAGGTGGAGGAACTACTGCTGGAAGGAAAAATAATAAGGACCTCTATCAATGTGATTTTCAACCAAATCTGCAACAAGGACGATTAAGGAGAAGATCTCAACTTCCAGGCACCTGATGCATCTAGACTAGATCTCAACTTCCAGGAACCTGATGCATCTAGACTAGCCAATATTTAATATTGAATCCAAAGTTTGGTTGAAATCTGGCTCTTTTTCAGCACATAAGCAGAAATAGCAAGAAAACTAGAAATGGTTTCTGAACAGCCAAGGAAGTGCAGCAATCAAGTGAATGGATGGGAGGAAAAAGAGCATTGTAACTGACCCAATCAACAGGGGTCCAAATGGGAGACTTCAAGTCTCTATGAAACATTGGTCATGCAAGTAAGATGACATACCAAAAATAAAGTTGACTTAAACAATTATTGACCGTTGTAAAGAAATTATAGGTGAACAAGTTCTTTGCAATGAGAAAAAAGTGAAGAAATAAATACACAGAGACATTAATGATGTTGTGAGTATGCATACTCAGAAACAACCAGGCTAGTTTCCCTAAATTCCAACAAAATATAGTTACTGGTCGGATGATAAGAAAGGGAACTCAATCTAACCTTGGATGATATTCAGCTGCCAACTTTTCCAATTTAGGTTTCAAATATATACATTTTCTGCACCAGCTTGCCATCCTACAAGTTCATATAAATTTATATTTCAAAGCACAATCAGCAAGCTCTTGTCAACACAATATCCCTCAATCCACAAGAAATCAACATATATGTTGAAATCAGTTAACCAACAAGGAAAGCTAGTAAATTTTTACTCATCTATAATCTATTCAACCACATCTCACATATCAATGAAAAGACACCTAGGTGATTTGAAAGTCAAGCAGTTCCTTCCACAAAATTGTTAATCTAAGTTTCCCAAAAAAAAAAAAAAGCTTATTCATGGCTCAAGACCAGGTATATTGCAATTAAATTGTCCAAGAAATTGAAATTATACTTGAGGAACAATATAAATTACTAGGGTTAAGTACGCTGAGCAACACTATCTCCCTAAAAGTATTATCTACTGAATTCATTATATTGAATATAACATTCAGTTCACCTAAATTACACCACAAGATCAGGGCTTTCTAATTTCTATGACAAGTCCTGAATTATAAAATCTCTCCAATTTACAAATTATAAAAAAAATTCCTCTTTCCTGCACTTTCTTACCAACCAAACACAAGGTTAACTCTTAAAAAGCAAGCAAATTTTGACTTGAGTTCCGCAAACAAATCCATCCCCCATTCAAAAGTAACATTTTCCTTTAATTTTCTCACTTCCAAACCAACTAACAAAATGACAGAGAAACAATGAGAATGGAAGGTACCAAACTATAATCACGGGTCTCTCAAGTTGTTGAGCCTCTCCAATAACTTGATCGAACTGGCTCTCGCTGCAAATGGGCTCAAGCTCAACCGCCACAGGAGAGTCATCGAGTCCCTGCAAAGACCCTTCTTCGCTCCAAGCATTGAGGACCCGAATTTTCTCTCCGAACACGCAGAATCCCTGTGGAAAGCAAAGGGATTTCCGCACCAATGAAAATCTAGTGAAGCTTGAAACTGGGGTTCTTGGAAAAACTCTGGAAAAGTCAGGTGAGGCTTCTCGTGGGGTAATGGAGAGAAACGGGGAATAACATATGGTCTTAGAAATCATGTCGAAGAGGAGTTATTCTGAAGAAATTGGCACAAAAACGAAACCCCAGATGCAGAGGAGAAAGAGGGATGACCCCTTGACGGCGACGGTGAAGGATATTTACCTGGGTCCCATTTCCCCTGAGATTGAGCAGGCCAATTCATAAGCAATCCAACTGCTTCGAAGAAATTAGGCTTCAACTTGTCTGTGTCTTTTGTTTCCGATGACGGCGCTAGTTTTCCTTCTAGAGGAATGCTAGCTGCACTCGCCTTTCTGCAGCACTCTCCAACACTCCTTCGTCTAAAATAGCCACGTGAACTTTTCTAGTTGGAAACTTTGAATTGCGAGCCAAAGTTTGTTACGTGGACATTTTACATGAGAGAGTGTCTGACAGTACTGGAGAAAGGCGAGTGCAGCTAGCATTCCTCTTTCCTTCTATCATTTTTTTTTTTT